CCAGCCACATACTCAACAGGGGTTAATTTCATAGACATAATAAATATTATGTCTATGGGTCATGTAGGCGGAATACTCGTGAAATGCCGTTAGAAAGAAACTTAACGCGAAGTTAAGTCAGATATTCGACATATTGAACTTAAATATCTAACATAGTTGTTAAACCACGCAATGTATTGGCAAATTCAGATTTAACTAAAGCTAACTACGAATTATCACACGTATAGTATCTAGCATAGAACATATTAAACAAGCTAAACAATTATACAACCTTGGTTTGGTAACGGTACCGTTTTAAAATCATGATGTAATATCACCAAAACAGTTACTGTAGCTAGTTAAAGTAAGCCCCTAAGTGTAATTATTAACAAGTTTCATTCAGAGACTAAAAGCACTTATATCCTCGTCGAAATGCATCTTGAGGTGACAGCCTGGTGCATTGTAGTTTTATAGTTCGGCTGCTCTCACCCCCAGACATGCACATTTTTTATCATGATTTTTTTCAACTTGATTGTAATCTATGCAATAATCACACATGTAACTAAATAAAAAAAAGTCTGCATGACCACATGACACCTCTACCAACAAAATTACAGTGAAACAATTATTTAACTTAAAGGCTTTTATTCTTTGAGTATCTGCTCAGGTCACATGACTTACTGTTTCTCAGCGACTGAGACCCCAACTGGGGACCAACAGTCTTACTAACCAGGGTCATAAGATGAATGACAACACAGGAAAGAACATACGGTCGAGACAAGCAGGGCAACTGTGACATAGCAACATCATATGTGGAGATATTTACCACAATGTTTTTATACTTCCAGGTCTCGCTGTCTATACAATAGCAGAGCAAACACACACGTACGTACATAAACTATTAGGCTATGCAGATGACAAAGTCCCACATTTCTAGTGAAAACATCAGCCTCTGGCTCTAATCTTTCTGAAAAACAGCAGGAAGGAACAGTGGTGCTATTAACACCCCTCGGTCCTCATGGATAGAGGTGTCAAGCAGCTAGGTGCAGAGAGAGCAGAGAGAAAGAGTTGACAACAGTTGGTTTTAGACGTCGGTACAGTAGTAGACTAGAGAACAGGGGTTGATGTCAGGTCACTGGAGGGCAGTGCTAGAGGTTGTAGTAGACAAGTGCTGGGTAAGAGACTTGGGAATAACTGTCCCTTTTTGGGCTGGGTGGTTACCAAACTCCACCCTCTCATAGGTGGCTTAGGCACTGCTGAGGGCATCCACACCAGGCAACACTTTACCTGTGAGCAGAGGAAGTACATTTATAGTATGGCCACTGTCTTGCAACAGGAATCAGTACCCAAAGTAAGTAATGTTGCTAATCTTTATTCCCTTGCAGATACTACAAGGGATAATAATACAACGCAGTATGTCAGATACTGCAGCGTCATGATGCAATTGACTTGCTAGGTGGTGATGTCACTCACCCTCCAGAAGCTCCAAACTGGCTCCGCCTCCTGTGCTGACATGGCTGACCTTGTCTTCTGTGTCCCATTTGGCACAGCAGGTAGCAGTGTCACCTCCCCCTAAGCACCAACAAGACAACACACATGATCAATTATATATAATGGTCCACATTCATTACAATAGAAGGAAGAACGGCTGTGGGCACCATCCAGATCTGAGAATTAGCTTTAAAAATAACACACACACACAAGATTAGATGAACAACACCAGCAGTCAAAATTGCAGTACAAGAATATACTTCAATAACATTTGTAAACATTATATACACACACACACGACAGGAGGCTTTCTTTAAAGAATTATACCTGCATCTAGTTGTAAAACATCCCCATAACTCTCGCTATGAGAATATTAACTATGCTGAATGTCAGCTTTAAGGCATTAGGACAGTTTACCAATGATGGTGACGCAGCCAGTCTTGGTGACCTCCACTACTTTGTCCATCAGACTCTTGGTTCCTTTGGCAAAGTTGTCAAATTCAAACACACCCACAGGGCCATTCCACACAATCTGCTTGGCTCGGCCTACAGCCTCAGCAAACAGCTTGTTACTCTCTGGTCCACAGTCAAGACCCTGGGGAGAAGCATGGATGAGATCAACCACAGATGCATAATTTGTTATGAAGGATAAATAGATACACTTAAGAAAAAAAATCTAAGTTATACAATTCCTTAAATCGCTAGCTACCAAAACACTGTTCCCAATCCCATAAAAATTACAATTAAAAATGTTTTTTGATAACAAATGAAAGCAGAACTGGGAGCTTTGTCATATAGTAATATTGGTTGTAACCGTCCCATTCACGCTTTCATCTTGATACACGTGACCCAGGTACCCCCTCGTTCCTCACCATCCATCCTGCAGGGATGCCAGCGGCCACCGAGGCTGTGCCTGTCTGGGCATGCTCATCAAACTTATCAGCCGTAACAAAGTCCACAGGGAGGTTGATCTTGACCTTGTTCTTCTCAGCCTTGGCCATCAGCTCCTTGACAATCTTGGCACCCTCCTCGTCATACAGAGAGGTGCCGATCTGCATTGAAAGGCCAAGTCATTTAGACCTCAAACCCCCAGTCAATTAACAGAAACACGTTTAATTAGATTACGTGTTCAGAAGTTAAATTCATGATTTAATACACCAGGTAGGACATGTTTTTTGTCAAGCAGCAGCACCACCACCACCTTACAGTCATTCTTCTCACACAAACCCAAAGTAGAACTTCCCCTCTGTCCTCACCTCCATGTTGTTGAGGACCTTGAGGAAAGTGAACGCCATGCCACCACCAATGATCATCTCATTGACCTGGTCCAACATGTTATTAATCAGCTGAATCTTGTCCTTCACCTTAGCCCTGCACACAGTTCAAAAAAATAAAAACTCACAAAAACATTTTCATGTACAGTAAATATGCTACACCAACTTATTAAAATGAAGCCCACATATCTTCACACACTCAGGATGAGAAATAACTCAAGTGATACACTATCGTCATGAAATGTGTTATAGCAGTCCTATGACATCCAATGCATCCAGTGTTAAAGGTTAACAACCATTGATCATTTGATCTTGTATTAGGAAAAACAGCATGTACTTTGTAATTGGCAGAGGGCCAAAAAGCTGAACTGTGCAGAAAACAGGGCTAATTTTTGTTGCAGTGAAGTAACCTGATTGGCTGTGGGCAAACACACTGATTAGATATAGTTGTACAATACCTGACTAAAATGGACTCTGACACAGGTAAATCTCATCATTTCTACACAGCATTGGCTGTGTTTTAACATTACTACCATATAAGCTAGAAAGGACCCAGGGGTAAGAAAACACTACAATCTACAAGTAAAGCACTGTCAGACAGATACAGGTATTACATAACATGTTTCCAGTCTCTTCCTGGGTTGACGTTTGAATTTTTAATTAAACCTTTCAGCACAACACATAAAACTATAACAACCCAAATGTAACCACAGTGATCAAGTCAGAAACCAGGTATATGACCAAACGAAAACAAATAAATGTCTCCAGTTAAAGCGAGGGACAGGGTCTTGTTTCATCTTGTTTTAAAGTATTAAATTACTTGCAAGACAGCCAGCATGAATTCATACATACATGGCCTCAGATAACACCATTTTCCCCTTGAGGCAAGACAGATTCCACAGGTTGTCTTGTTTCTTAGGCTGGGCCATTTTAATAAGTTTAAATTGATACTAAAGAAACAGATGCTGGCATCTGGACAGTATAATCCTAACACAGATCAGCAATCTCAGCTCATTCTATAACCATGCACAACTAAACCACCAAAATTACCCTCCAAGGATAGCCAAAAACGGCCTGGCAGGTTTCTCCAGAGCCATGGCAAAATAGTCCAGCTCCTTCTTCATCAGGAAGCCTGCAGCCTTCTGAGACAGGTTCACTCCAACCATGGAGCTGGAGAAGTGAGTCAGGTTGGGGAGAGAAGAATGATTAGAAGTAGGAGAAAGTGGCATTAATAGCTTGGTTCGATTCTACATCGAGTTCTGTGGGCAATTTAATAAACAAAATTAACAATATCAAACTTTCCAAAGTTGCTGTTAAATGATTCTTTAATAAGCTACTGAAGTTCATTCCTCTATTGAGCTGTCCAGTAACACTACCTGTGGGCTCGGTGTGCTGTGCCAAATGCATCGTTGACGTAGACATCTCCCAGCTTGGAAAGAGAAGCCCTGAATGAATCGATCTGCTCTTGAGTGGCTTTGGTCTACCAGAGAAGAAGAAGAGAATCACTCTAAGACTGATTTCTTCAAACAGGTTGTATCAATGGTTAGTCCTTCCATCCAAGCATCATTCTTAAGATTAATCAAGTCTATAAGTCAAGCTTGTCACACAAAAAAATGCTTTCAGCTGGCCTTCAGCATTTGTCCTCTTGAGCTGTTAACACGACTGCTAGCTCTATGCAGACAATGCAACACTCCTAACCAACTTGTTGCCAGGCCTTTCTCAATTTATTGGTTACAGCATGGTTCCTGCAAAACCAGGGTTTTGGGGAATGATTGACATACAAGCATGTATAACAATGTATTGATGCTGTAAGTTGTTTTAGAAAAGAGCCTCTGCAAAGTAACTTTAAAGCTCAACGAATGTGCCTAAACCCTGCAGCCATTAAATAAAGCACCCGGACCACCAGGGAACCTGCCATCCAATAACACCTACGAATATATTGGTGATCCTCTGAACTCCGCAACACGATTCAGGTACAGTTAATATACCACAGTGTATTCACTTCAGATCAGGTTCCTTCTGCACTTCACCAAGGAAAGTTCATGACTCTTTCACATTAAGGTCAAAGCTGATCTGTAGTGTAACTTCCAAATGCCAGCTGCTGGCACCACAGCAGATCAGCAGCTCCTAAACTACAGACACAGATTTAGATTACACCAGCCCCAAACCTAGTCATTCCCCTCCTGTATGTGATCATTTATTTTAACCTTTATTTAACCAGGTAGGCCGATTGATATGGCAAATTGTCATTTGCACCAGCGACCTGGGGATTGAACCCAGGAAATCATAAATATTACACATGCACTCTACCACTGAGCTACATAAATTCCATCATAATTTATTCAGAGTAAAAATAGGAGTTAGGGGAAGACCACATTGAAAAGTACACCGAAAACTGAATCTTCGTCTTCAGGCGGGACATCGCGTATTCTGGAAGTGTAACCACCAGCTAACTGGTGTGTTGTACAGAAGACACCAGCTGCCCTCCCCCGTCCTAGACCTCTTCACATCAAATGGCTACATACCAGCCAGGGCTCACAGGACAAGAAAAGCAACACACTCTGCATTAGAGGGCCCACCACCATTCAGACAAATGCCAGCAGGTCAGGACTATCCCCAAGGTGAAGGTTCATGGCTAAAAGGGATAGAGTCCATGTCTATGTAGCCACTAGAATATGTCCACTAACACTTGGATAAGCATTCTGAATTATTCACATTTGATATAGATAATTATTTGTGTGCGTTTTGTCCACCACCCCAACCAAAACATTGCACTTGTTTTGCAGCTCTAAATGTACAACTATAGAGAGTGCTTTAGCAGTCACCTGGATATAAACAATAGTTAATCACTTCAGGAAACCACTGATCGCAGAGCAGCCGCAGCCAACTGGAACAAACTGACCCTCCACACTCAGACTATATCAATCTATAAAGTTAAAACAAGCACTGTAAGGGAATCCTATGCCACATTGACATAGCACACCACAAACAGACGTTTCTTTAACCTGATCTCACTAGGAATGTCCTGTTATTTAGCCCAGCATCGTCCTGGCGTCTCATGCCTCTGCAGCTAGCAGCTCGAAGGCCAACACCAGTGACAGTTGCAGCTTGGTGTCTGCAGGGCAGGTGGCCTCTGAGAACACCCAATACAACTGCTGCAGCACTGGCAATGTGCCCACCTTGTTCCCAGAAGCATCCTTGCCCTTTCCCTCCTCAGCAAGGTGAAACCTCAGGTTCTCCAGAAGAATGACAGAACCGACGGCAGGGTCAGCACAGGCCTGCTCTACTTCGGGACCAACGCAGTCCTTCAGGAAGTGCACATCCCTGAAAGCAAAGCAAACGCAAGCATGAGTACTGACTGATACATAGTCAGTAGAGAATATGTGTTCATACAGTTACATAGACAACAGTATGGTCTCACTCACTGGCCCAGCAGGCTCTGGAGCTCAGCCACTACAGGCTGCAGGGAGAATTTGTTGGGCATGGGGATGCCATCAGGACGACCCAGGTGACTCATCAGCACCACAGCCTTGGCCCCATGGTCCAGACAGTGCTTGATGGTGGGGACAGCAGCTTTGATCCTGGAATAAATCAGTATAGATTGAAACAGTGCAGTGATTCACTGAAACATGCAGCAGTTGGTCTTAGGTGAACTATAATCATTATAAAGGGGATGAAAACTAAGAAACTCGTGATCACCTCTGGTTGTTGGTAATTTTATTGTCCTTCATGGGCACATTGAAGTCAACCCTGCAAAAGCGAAATGTTATACATTAGTTGTGTTTTGAACATAAATAGCAGTGGGTTCAAATGTATTGAAACTTTAAGCAACAATTACAACGTTTCACAGTACAATAAAAAATCTAAATATTTAAATGGTTAAATGTATTAACAGTTATGGAAGGAACGGGTCAAACGATTTGCACAACGACATTGCTACAAGCTTGATATAGGCTAGGCTGGCTGTCTGTCCAATCTTCCCCTAATCACAAACCAATGAAATACAGCCTGCCGGTTCAGTACTGTTTAGTCGTGTAATGGATACTTGTTCCCTCAACAAAAGCAGGTTTTTGTACAACAGGAATAGAAATAGAGGTGAAGCTAGACAAATGCCCACAGAACAGCTGCAACCCAATGGCAGCTTGACCGTGTAGCTATCGAACATAAACCTGGCACAGATTGTTTTCTTCCAAATGTCAATGCACTTAGCATGAACATGCCACCTTCACAGCAGAAAACAAATGGTTACCAATGTGTTCTTATGCCCGAACAATCAAAATCAATGAGAAACCGGGTGCCCAATTACAAATTGGTTACCATAAGTCGATCATATTCGTAAAATGTTATTTTGTTTTTCAACAAATTAAAATCAAACTCAGATTATTTTTTAAATGTAATGTAACCACTTAAAAAATACATGGTTTTCCACTTAGACCCTTGGCGTGACACCACGACAATTTGTGAACCTAGAACAGAAGTCATCCAAAGTGTATGCCGCCATTCTGTCTCCTGCAAAGTAACCTGTTCTCATTGGTTGAGACAAATGGGGGTCCTCCCCAAAGTGGTTCATGTCATAATGAAACCTGGCACCCAGCCAGAAAGGTCGATACACAGTGGATACTAGCATAAACTATGTTTTGTTTACCTGTACGTTCACCCGTTGAAGGTCTTTGATAAAATAGACATTTTCATTGGGCCTGGACAAAGACACTTGGCTATGGTTCCGAAATTAACTTGGGCTATTGTAACGAAGGGGAATTAATCTGAATTTCTAAATGGTCTGTGAAGGAGACCAACAGCAGTGTATTGGGTGTCATTAGACAATGGTGAATGGTGACAGAAAGACAACAGTACCACGACTATGAATGTATTGATTAACTCATAACAGTGACTTTTTGGGAGAGATATGGCTAGAGAAGCCAGTAAGCAAAGCTTTCTAGCTAAATGCTAGTCACTTTGTCCAGTCATTTGAATACAATCACATCCATTCTATATATTCATTTCACACCCTAATTTGAATGTATACCGCCCATGTCCTGTCATTTCCGAATGGCAGTTAGCTAAACAGTGCCATCATGACCACTAAGTTTACCATTTGTAGAGGACATTTAGGGGACATAATCTAGCAGAACGTGATGCCAGAAAATAAGGGTAAGCGTTAGGCTAAAGCTTTATGCAGTTCCAGCAAAGGTAGTATTTAGCTAGCTAGCAACACTACAAATAGGTTGGCACCTATAGCTAGCTCTATGATAGTCAACATATGTAGTGTTTTTTTAAATTAACGAAATAGCCAACACGACCAACATTTGCACCATGTATGATGGATCATTATAATAACTAAGAAACATTCATTTTTATAATGGTATCCCATCAGCCACAACATCACTAGTGCCACTAATTTGACATAAATAACAAATGTTTGAATACTGAATTTTTAAATCGTATATATAATATATTGATATTTAAATATCATGGCATAACATCGTATAGAATAACACCAAATACAATTCCCCACAATTATGGAATTGCATGCTGAGCAAAATTAAGATTAAGCTTTTTTGTACTTTAGACATTTGGAAAGTTTGATAAAATAGTTTAATTGTACTATGGATTGTGTTCTAACATGTATGCTTTAGGTTCTCATTTGTGTAATAATACAGGCCAAGCTATTATTGGTTAATGCTCACCACCACCACGCCTGTGGCACTACCCACTTACACAGCAGATTCCATAGCAACGACTGAATCCAGCCCGTCAGCCACACACAGATTCATAGTAGCACAAAGGAAAGACTGACGCATCGGCATTTATGACACGTATAATTCGTTTAGCTCACACTGAATTAAATATAATTGTACTCATTGAATGTAATATAATTGTACTAATTTAAAAGTGAATACGACCTTTACCAAAGCTCACATGCATCCATTGCATACGTCATGGGTGCATCATGGAGTTGGGGACTCCAGGATGGCCTAACCTTTCAAGGTGGCTGTGTCGTTTCAGTGTACCAAAGCACATCGTACTACAGTCTACCATATATCCAAACAACATATTCACGAGCAAATATAATCGACTACAGTTGGCCCGATTCAATATTAATGACATACATAATATATAATACAGTAAGGTTTCGGAAAACTGCGCGTATGGTGCCATAGTTAGGCCTAACCATGAATCTGATAATCGGACATCAGCCAAAATATATGCATGAGACATGTGTTGAAACTGAAAATGTGCACATTTTAGAGATGCTCGTAACCATTCGGTATCGCTTCTATGTCACGTAACTGTCTGGTTGGACTTCCTGAGTTCCATCACGAGCAGTGCGTCAGTGCATCACTAACTAGCTAGGGAATGTGTCCTGCTCTAAACACATAAGCTTTGTAACGGAAATTCCTTATTGGGTACCAATGTGTATTGGGATTTTTATCAACGATACAAAGCATCTGCCCCTATATCTTATCCGATATATTTCATTGCGAAAATGTTTGCAAGTATATAGCAACCTAATTTCCATTGCCACATTTCTAACTAACAATGTTATAAACTATAGCTCACCTCATGACGACGCGCTTCCCTTTCACGTCCACCTTGTCCAGCGTGAGTTTATTTGACAGCGACATATTCGAATGGTTATTTGCACCGGCTTTTACTGTGTACCTCGTTGCTGCCAACACCTCACTCGACTGGTGAATAAATCCGGAATGGAAACGACCTTAAAGTAGTGATGAGACACCTCTTGGGGCGGCGCTTATATCCGGTAAATCCATTGGTTGGTACAGAGCGTGCACGCGATCTACGCCGGATACGTCGAAGTGCGTAATCACTCCACCCCAACAAAACGGTTTGCAACAGAAGCAATCAGAACGGTTCTGTTTGGCGAAACGTTTTTTGCAAATCTTAAAAAACGTTGGTTTGGCTGAACGAACACACCCCAGCTAGGTACAAGACGCATTTGTTCTGCGTTTAGGTTTAGACCCGTGTCTGTGGTAGTGTTCTCCAAGCCCAGACCTGCGAGACGTGATCGACAATGTATGAATCCCCATCCAACCATCATCCACTACTATGCAATACCAAACCAACCCCTATGCTCAGCCCTAAAATAATATTTGAGTGCCCTCTATGGCCTCGTCCAAGGGTGACATCTACATAATGGTTAGTAGTTTTATAAACGCATTAACGTCTGGATTAATTCGTGACTGGTGGTGCTATTCATGGTCCACTACTTTAATTAATACATGTATTTAAATAACGTGGTTCATTATTAAAAGGAGCATGACATCGTCTTTAGGGGCAAAGGCCGCATGCTGTAATTGGTGAGAAA